GTTGAATAACAGTTTTCAAATATCTTTATATAAATATCAGACTTCACGTTGTGTTCTTAAAGTTGACATTCAATAGAATAACATCAAGAGAATAGCATCAAGAGAATAATTTAAAGTGTATTTCTAGTCGAGAATAATTTCGAATGCCTACTAGTCTTAAAGGTAGCCAAAGATAAGACTTTATGAGTAATAACGTTTCCTGTTAAGTACTGAAGACAGAGAGTAGTCTTCTCATATTTATACTCTCGACTGTATACGTCATATCGACAGGAATGATAATCTGTTAATCTTTTAATGTTGGTACTTAAAAAAATTAGCCATTAAATTGTACCTTTTTGAATATGAATGACCATTATATAACGGCCACGAGTCCTAATTCATGGGCTATTAATTTCTATACCAATTTCATGATCCAAAGCGCCGTAGGCAATAACACATTAACCTACTAACAAAAATCTGAATACGGGCGGATCTCAGTTTTGTTACATTCCTCCCTTTGCAGAGGGTCATGAAATTGGGGTACCAAAAGAAAACGGTTAAATCTATCCTCACACCTGTCGATTCTTAACATCATAATTATTAATAATACAAGTTGAAAAATACACATTACAAAAAACAATTCTTCAATATAATCAGAAATAACACAAGGCATGATTGTAAGTCTATATTGTTTATATGCACTACTAGAAGCTACTACATCCACCATAAAAAGTTATATCCACCATTAAAGTGTCTTAAGGTGCTTGGGTTTGCGGTTGTCGATTCTACCATTTGGTTAGTAGGTTTCTCAGGTTACATCGTTTATTTCGCCATAGGTTATGTTGTTTCGTTTTTGAAGAAGCAGGATACGTTTTCACTATTTAGCTAAACTTGAAGTCTTCAACTATAAAGAGATCTACACATTTGTTTTTAAAATTATGTCAATTACATTGTAGATTCCTGGGCTTTGGCAGCGTTTCGGGCTTGTGCCAACGTTAGTAAGTAGTCCAGGGTCATTCTTCCTTTAGGTACAGGGAGACTGGATTCATCAGATGGGTGTGGAGTATCATCCCTCGGTCTAGGAATCGGCGGGTACATGTTGTTGGGGAGTAGAGGAACTGTAGGATCAGGTCGAGATGTTGGTTCATCGTTTGGAGCGGAAGGTATAGTACGCAACTCCACATCGGAAGACCTTTTGTTCCCCCGCCCAGGTAGCCAAAGATAAGACTTTATGAGTAATAACGTTTCCTGTTAAGTACTGAAGACAGAGAGTAGTCTTCTCATATTTATACTCTCGACTGTATACGTCATATCGACAGGAATGATAATCTGTTAATCTTTTAATGTTGGTACTTAAAAAAATTAGCCATTAAATTGTACCTTTTTGAATATGAATGACCATTATATAACGGCCACGAGTCCTAATTCATGGGCTATTAATTTCTATACCAATTTCATGATCCAAAGCGCCGTAGGCAATAACACATTAACCTACTAACAAAAATCTGAATACGGGCGGATCTCATTTTTGTTACAAGCTGAACTTTATTAAAATTATGACTTAAACCTCGACAATTCCATTGTATTATATTATTTTTTTGATGCATTGTCAGGGTGGTTTGACTGGACTACGAGGTTTGCGGTAAGGGGGGTTGAGAACAATATCCTGTAACTCCTCCTTCATTTCCTCAGCAGAACATCCATTGAGGTCTGGATGTCGAATGACCCCTTTGGAAGAGTTCAGAGAGGAATGAGGATAAAACTTTTATCGGTACGTTTGCCAAAGTGATCGATTTAAGCAAGAGTTCAGAATGAATTCTGCGAGCACATTCAACCAACAAGGAGCCGTTACGCAGTTTTTTCGTAGATTTGGGCTCACTTGCAAGACCTGTCAATCCTTTTGCAATTGCAAATGGCGATAAGGATGATAAAGACCTCTCAGGGTCACTACTGTCAATGACAAGAAACCGAGGCCATGATTCGTCTGAATTAGACGAATCAGTAAATTCAGCCTCGGTTAACCGGCGCTTACGCTCGTTTGTGTTTTTTTTTGTTTGTGTAGCCATGAAGAAAAAAGAAGAATTCATCTCCCGAGACCCCCGACCACCACGGACCACGACATCCGCGCGGGCTTTACGCGGACTCCAGCGCCGACGCCCTAGGGGTAATCGGGAGATATACTTAGACAAAAAAAAAAGAATAAAAGTTCTGGGTGGAGCAAATAAATTCCGAACTTTTATTTTTATTTTTTTACCCAATTGACCCAAGCCGCTGCTTCTGAGTCAGTGAAATAATTTGGAAGAAAAAAGATACTAACTATTACAAGAAAAAGTTTAATCTGTTCTGACCACCGACTCATAGGCTCAACACGACAAGCCGATTGACTAGTGTGGGCCACACTGGCCACCCGTCTAGGAATCCCCTGGCCCAAAGTGATTTATTGGGAAGTATGTTACCCTCAACCACCAGGTGTCCATTCAAAACCGACACTGGTCGCACCTCACGGCAAACGAGGAGCCCCAATTCAGTCGCCTTTTGCGACACGCAATGGGGGGCGGTGGACCTATTCTTAACCCCGGGCCACTGGGGGGATGTGAGTTCAAAGACAACTGACTTGAACAATGAGAGTATGAGAACTAAGGTGGACGAGGTGAAAGATGTCAATAGACGAAGAGGTGCTTCCAACCCTAACGTGATAAATGTGGCTTCGGATGGTCGGTACAATTGTCTGACCATAGGACACAGCACGAAATCTGGACAAAGAGCATCCCAATCAATCGACATTGCTTGTGAGACAAACGCAGATGGGATATATATCATAAGTGTTGTGTTGCAAAATAAACTTTGGACTGGGGCAACGTTGTTGGACTGGGGCGACGTTGATGCACAGCAAGACAAGACATGCACCTATATCTGAGAAAGAAATGGGGAGAATACGTGGTGAAGATTTATCTATTCAAGGGGTGCTCATCAAATTTGCCACAACAGATGGAGAATCAACGTCAGCTACCGGAATTGAAGAGGCAATGAGAACTTTACATTCTATGTGGAAAATTGAAACATTAGCTGACCCAGCCCATATTAGTGTATCTCAGTTCCGCCAATGTTGTAAGGCTAATTTAAGCGACAGAATGTTCAGAGGCAAAACAAACGTTTTAAAAACAAATCAAAAGAAAACTTTGGGCCAGGATATAAAATCCAGTTGTAGCCTTGTGATCAAAGAGATGTACATTACTTACTGCGGAGATGTGGACAAACTTTCTGTTAAATGAACTTTTGAAAATAAGATGAGGTGAGGAAGCCATAAACCGTTTTAAGACACACTCAAAAATGTGGGTCAATAAATCGATCCATAATCATTTCGCTACCAAAGAGAGTCAAATGGAAGAAATCTTAAGTGGTGGCTATCATCCACTATTCTTCAATCAAATATTGAGATAAAGGAGGCAACACAGACAAAAGCAAAGTTTTTAGGGGCAAAATTGTCCCCCAAGAGTTTTCAAGCACTAAGCAGTATTCAGAAAAAATCAGTGTTCCATAGAGATTATGAAACAAGATCAGAAGTTGAGAGAAGAAAGCTTCTCGCTCGAGGAAGAAAAATCCATGATTTTCAAAATATATAAAATTCAATTCAACTGACAGTGGGTACAGAAAAGGACAATTACACAAAATTTTACCGGATGCTTTGCAGCAGATGGATGATGATCATTCTTATTAATATTCGCAATGATATTTAAATGTATAATTTGCCCTGAAATGAGAAAGACAAGAAAAATCAGTTTTTTTCATAATAACGTATTTTCATTTATGCTACATCTCCAAAATCCGAATCAAACACACATACAAGGTATCCCCCCTAGAAGGACGCAAACACGATTCGGCCAACACGATGCCAGGAAATCACGACTGGCATAAGAGGTAGGAAAGCGTGTAGCGGGGTTAAAGTCTAAATTCAATCTAACTGGTCACGGCACCGGCTTGTTGGTTGGGTTCTACTTGCAAACTGCAAATTAGACTATTCTTACATACTGTATAATCGTTTGTAAGAAACTGGATACGGACACTTTCCTTCAATTGATACTAACGCTTACAATATTAACAAACACTTTATTTACATCCAATAGCCTAACTAACTAACACTGAATACTAAACAATAAATATAACTCCCAAAAAGGGAGATTCCACCCCAGAATTCCCATACTCTAGTCCAACATGTTTCTCCGCTAACCCAAGAGTGACCTGATATCTTTTCCTAAGTTGTATTTATTCCCTTACCCAGATGGTCATTGAAATAAAGGAATCCTTTGTCTGCCCGACATTTGACTAAAACCCCTGTGGTTAGTTAGGGTTTATGACACTTTTGGACAAGACAGTAGCTGGGCAGATTCTAGGCTCTTGGGCAGTCCTTAGATGTTCAGTTAGTCTTCAGATTTAGTGTAGACCTCTTGTTAGTTTAATATAGTGTAAATAAAGTGTTGTTCATATCTTAGCTTAGTTGTTATATCATTTTGGAAGTGTGCGAAATTCAGTTTGGAAATAAGTGATGATCGGCCATCATCATGTGTGAGATTTTTCTTTCAGCAATAGGACATAAATGTACATAAACTGACATTTTTTTTTGTATATTTGCATGTGCATGTTTTAACTTTGGTTTTGTATATATGTTTTGTTTTTTCTTTTGAATATATTTCAAGAAATTCATGATTATGTATTTTCTACTTTGGGAGGGAAACTTATGTAGCGGGGTTTAAGTCTAAATTCAATCTAAATTAATCATTTCGGGTAAACTAAGAATTTGCATAATATTTTAATAGATTAACATTTTATCAGACACCGAGGAAATCATTTCGGGCATAGATTTAATTGGGATAAATTGACAATGGGTTCACACAATAGGGTTACTACAGATCGACTTCTGTCAACGTAGGGGATTAAAAGTATCAATAGGTTATGTCACGTGAATGTCCACTTGGAACAAAGAAGCTTGAGACACAAAGCATTTTACAGACAATAGAGAGTTCACTTAAAGGGTTTGAAGAAAGAGTCTAGGTTACAAAGCATTTCTCACTTGAATGGACATTAGGAAACAGGGGTTTGGAAAACGACACGTTTGAATGACCAATAGGAAACAAGGGTTTGAAAAACAATGATTTGGATAGACAATAGAGTAAGGTAATAGGGTCGGGAGTGGAAGAGAGAGTCACTTATTCTTTAGCTTTTGGACAAGACAGTAGCTGGGCAGATTCTAGGTTCTTGGGCAGTCCTTAGATGTTCAGTTAGTCTTCAGATTTAGTGTAGACCTCTTGTTAGTTTAATATAGTGTAAATGAAGTGTTGTTTATATCTTAGCTTAGCAGTTATCTCATTTGGGAAGTCCGTATCCAGTCTCTTACAAACGACTATACAGTTTGTAAGAAAAATCTACTTCGCAGTTTGCAAGTAGAACCCGACAACAACCCCTTTGCAAGCGACTGCGGTAATCACCAACTTACAAGCTGGATTGCTAGACATGCCTTTAGGTAATTCAAGGACTAGGCTTCTATTGACATATTTACACATTCCCCCTACACCTATCAATATCACAGAAAGGTCACATAGTGACAAAACAAAAACAAAAAAAAAACAATAAAAACCATATCACAGAAACAGTCATTTAATGACTACAAAAAATACTAAAAATAATATCACAGGTAATACACCACATGGTGGTATTAAAAACAAACAAAATATGTAAAACAAACAATGACTAATCTATCTAAAATTTAAAATAAAGACTGACTTTTTTTAAAAAAGTAGTGCTGGGATCTCAAAGGTTTGAGATGCTTGCACTCAATCAGAATGTGTTTCACTGTCAGGCCGACCTGGCAGTGCTCACAGACGGGTTGAGGCTCTCGCTTGAGCAGATAACAGTTGGTGAGGTGAGTATGTCCGAGACGAGAGCGACACAAAACAAAACAACTTCATTTCTCCTGTTAGCACAATAGGAGTAGGGCCAGTCTCCTAGGAGAGGCTTAATGGCATGAAGCTTGTTAGTGTCTGCAGCATCACATCTTTGCTGCCATCGATGTTGAATAAAACACCTTATCACCGATTTAAAATCGGTGAAAGGCAAAGAAAAGGGGGAACAGGCAGTGACAAAGCAGCCTTAGCCGCCGCATCTGCCATGTCATTCCCCCGTATATCCATGTGACTGGGGAGCCAACAAAGGACAATGTCCTTTTTCGGCCCAGAGAGCTTGTATATATCCCCGATTATTGGGTGTACAAGCTGGATGTTATAAATAGCTTGTAATGAGGACAAAGAATCAGAAAATATTATACATTTTTTTAATGATGTAGAGGACTGAAAGAACTCAAGTGCCTGTAAAATGGCAATGAGTTCTGCTGTGAAAATGGAGGCTGCTGATGGTAAAGCTACAGATAGAACTTCGGATGGTGTAACTGTAGCGGCTGCTACCTTATCACCATCCTTAGATCCATCTGTATAGAAAGGTGAGTAATCCCCATATTTAGACCTTAGTTCTAGAAATTTAGATTGAAACACTATAGAGCTTGTCTGAGTTTTCTTATTACTCGATAGACTGAAGTCTATCTGAAATAGAGCAATCGACCACGGTGGAGTTGTGGTCATTACGAAGTCCGCAATACTGTCCTGGCTTATACCAGCCGCTGACATAAGGGGTTGAATGCGGACTCCAAAAGAAGAAACAGCACGAGGTCTAAATACGGGGCAGTAAGCAGGATGTTGTGGCAATGATGCTATCTTGATAGCGTACTGCAATGAAAGCCTGTCACGTCTGTCGTACAATGAGGGCTCATTAGCCTCGGCGTACAGACTTCCAACTGGAGTAGTGCGAAACGCACCTAAACTGATTCTAAGTCCTTGATGGTGTATGGTATCAAGCTCTTTGATATAGGATGGACGAGCTGATCCATACACCTGACACCCATAGTCGATCTTGGAACGAACCAAAGCTCGATACAATCGGAGGAGGACCTTTCGGTCGGCTCCCCAGTCAGTATTGGATAAGACTCTCAGTATGTTGAGAGCTTTCAGACATTTGTTCTTGAGGATTTTAATATGGGGACGAAAAGAAAGCTTGCTGTCAAAAGTGAGTCCCAAAAATTTAAATTCCCAGCACCATCCAACTTTAGTTCTGGATCTAGGTGCAATCCTCTTCGTTTACAGAAATGCATGCAGACGGTCTTGGATTTCGAAAACCTAAATCCATTGTCAGTTGCCCATTGCTGTAAGTTGTTTAAGCAAAGCTGCAACTGACGCTCAATCGTCTGCATGTTTGTAGAGCCATAACACATCTGAAAGTCATCAACATACAGAGAGCCATCAACCCCCCGTCTAAGGCACGACGTGATGGAATTAATTTTAATAGAGAACAGGGTAACGGATAATATGCTACCCGGTGGAACTCCATTATCCTGAGGAAAAGGATCTGAAAAAATGGAGCCAAGTCGAACCTTAAACGTCCTATCATGTAGGAAATTGGAGATGAATAATGGCAATCTTCCTCCGAGACCGAAATCAAAGAGATCACGAAGAAAGCCATATCTCCAAGTGGTGTCATAAGCCTTCTCCAAATCAAAGAATATGGCTACAAGATGTTTATTTTGGATGAAGGCATCCCTGACAAACGATTCAAATCTAACGAGATGATCAAGAGTGCTCCTTTGGGACCGAAATCCACATTGGAGGTTGGTAAAAAGATTGTTTGACTCAAGGTGCCAAACGAGCCTTCGATTGATTATTCGTTCCATGGTTTTACATATGCAGCTGGTTAATGCAATAGGGCGGTAATTAGTAGGATTCGTAGGATCTTTACCAGGTTTAGGAATGAGTACAATGGTAGCGATTCTCCAAGATGGAGGAAATACACCGTCATCCCAAATCTGGTTGAATATACATAAAAGTTTTTTTAATGTTGGGTAAGGGAGATGTTTGAGGATCTGATAATGTATATCATCAGGCCCAGTAGCTGTATCATGAGCCTGTTTCAGAGAAAACTTTAATTCGGAGATCTTAAATTTATCATTATAATATTCCTCGTTTTTTGATGCAAAATTAAGTTTTTTCCTCTCTTCCCGGAG